TTCCATAGAATATCCATCATTTTCAAACAAATTGGTTTTAAAGGGAGTATTATCAATGTAAATATATACTTTTTCTATAATTTATACTGGAGACTAATGGAAAGGAAAGACTAATGGAAGGAATAAAATTAAACTAAGAACAAGTGGGTTACAGCCATTTACCCACACAAAGGGTAAATCAGACCTCTTGTTGGCCACTCCTTAGATACATAAGGGTCCACTAACACCACATGTGATGATCTATAAGTCAACTGGTTCTTGTCGAAAGTCTATCAAAATACACAGACAATTTATGAGATATTGTCAACAACTAAGTAAATGTGATTAGACGCAAGCATCCATCTTACCAATGTTGTTAAGTTTTGTACTCTGGAAGATACGGTCAGTACAACAAAAGGATGCGCAGCAGGTAGCCTTTAAGAGACTCCCAAAACGACTTCTGCCTCCTGGTATTCACACCCTGTATAATCCCCTCTCCTAATGTGAGGGAGAATGTCTGTGGCTTGCTTTTAGTCAAAAGAATATGGCAAAAGGGATGTCACTCCCATGACTATGTTATGTCTTATAAGACTCTGTTTTGGCAGACTAAAGCTGTTTTCCTGCCGGCTGTGAACACACAAACAGCTACGTTGTGAGAGGGCCACGTGGCAAAGGAACTATGGGCGACCTGGGAGCTGACAGAGCTCCTAGCCAACAGCCAGCAACAAAATTAGGACCTCAGTCCTGCAACTGCAAGGAGATGACTCTGCCATCAACCTGAATGAACTTGAATTCCTCCCCACTTAAGCCTCCAGATTAGAACATAGACTGGCTGACACCTTGAGGACAGCCCTGTGAGACCTTGAGCAGAGGGCCCAGGTAAGCCATGTATAGACTTCTGACCTACAAAACTGAGAGATAATAAATCTGGGTTTTCTGGTGAGGAAGATTGGCCCCTGAGCAAACATTTGTTGCCAATCTTCCTCTTTTTGCTTGAGGAAGATTGTTGCTGAGCTAACATCTGTGTCAGTCTTCCTTTATTTTGTATGTGGGACACCACCACAGCATGGCTTGACAAGCGGCATATAGACCCGCACCAGTGATCTGAACCCATGAATCCTGGGCGGCCGAAGCAGAGCACATGAACTTAACCACTACACCACCAGGTCGGCCCCCAAAAATGTCTTGTTTTTTTTTTTTGTGAGGAAGATCAGCTCTGAGCTAACATCTGCTGCCAATCTTCTTTTTGCTGAGGAAGGCTGGCCCTGAGCTAACACCTGTGCCCATCTTCCTCTACTTTATATCTGGGATGCCTGCCACAGCATGGCTTGCCAAGCTGTGCCATGTCTGCACCCAGGATCCGAACCAGTGAACGCCAGGCTGCCGAAGCGGAATGTGTGAACTTAACTGCTGTGCCAAAAGGTTGGCCCCCCAAAAATGTGTTTTTTGAGCTACTAAGTTTCTGGAAATTTTCTACGCAGCAATAGAAAACAAATCTATGGATCTTCCCCCCAGTCACACCTCCAGATAACTGTAGTCCCAGCTGATACTTTGCAGCCTAGGAAGAGCTCCTAAGCTAGACAGGCCTGGCTAAGCTGCGCCCAGACTACTGACCCACAGAAACTGAGATAGAATACATTCTTGCTGTTTGCAAGCTGCTAAGTTCTAGGGCACCTTGTCACAAAGCAGCAGATAACTAACATGGCAAGAAACAGGCTAGGGGACAAATCTTGAAAGGAAAGTAGGATGATAATCCTAGAAAATCAAAAGAGAATCAATTAAAGAAAAACAAGGTCAATAAACCGGGCAGATTCAAGATATATATGGAGGAATATATTCTAAAGTACTTGTAGTATGAATGTGATTCTATTCTTAATAGCAACAAAAATTAAAATAGCCAGGAATGTATCTGACCTAAATGAACAGAGCTTACAACTTTTTATTGAGTAATATGAAGGACTTAAATAAAAGGGTTATCTCAACATTGTAAAGATGTCAATTTTGCCCAAATTTATTCATAGCTTTATTTGATTCTAATCAAAACAAGCGAATTTCTTATCAAATTTGACAGATTACATAATCATTTTCTGCAAGAATTACCAAGCAGGATTAATTAAAACGGTATTGGAGTTAAAACAGACTGATACGTACAATTAGAAACAACTAAGTAGATTCTAGCATATGTACAAAATGTAAAAGATTGAACAGATATCATACCAACAGAGAAGGGAAGACTTATCCCATAAATGGTATGAAATGACTTTAGTTATTTAGATCGTCAACCACACCCTGCCCTCCCCCCTCCTCATCATCACGCACAGAAGACTATAAGCTCCACAATGGAGAGGAGACACTTTAGTCCTACCAGCACCTAGGGGCTGGCGTGTCATGGGTGATGTCCAGAGCTGCCATAGGTGGAGGAACACTCTCATGAGAACAGTAAAATAGAACAACCTCTGATAAATTTTAAATGGGCATTTCTTTTGCTTGATCTTCAATCAATAAACCAATAGAAGAAATGACCCTGGTATACAACAGGAAATTCAAGCATACAAAAATTACCAATATGCCCAATAAACGTAAGAAAGGATATTGAACATGTGAGGAAGGATCAATGAAATCCAAGTTAAAATAGCTTTTACCTATCTGGTCAAGATTAGAAACCTCAAGTCCAGTCAATTTCACCTTCATAGTAGTCCTCCACTCTGTCCACTTCTCTCCTCTCTTGCCTGATTAATTCATTAGCCCCTATCTGACCTTCCTGTTTCCCCTCTTGCCTTAAGATGCTTATTTAAAAACAAAAATCTAGGGGCCAGCCCAGTGGCACACTGTTTAAGTTCGTGCGCTCTGCTTCAGCGGCCCGGGGTTCCCAAGTTCGGATCCTGGGCGTGGACCAACACACGGCTCATCAAGCCATGCTATGGCAGCGTCCCATATTCAAAAAATAGAGGAGGATTGGCAACAGATGTTAGCTCAGGGACAATCTTCCTCACCCAAAAAGAAAAAAAAATTCCCTTTCAAAAATAAAAACACAAATCTCACCATATCCCCATCTCTTTGCTTTTAGGATTATATCCCCAAATTCTTAAAGAAGCCTACAGGGCCTATTAGGCTCCAATTCCTATTGTGCTGTGGCCATGTTGGATTCCTTGAACTGAAATGCCTGTAGAAGACAAGTAGGTAAAGAAAATATGTGAGGTGGGCCACGTGAACATTACAGATGGTAAGTAGCAATAAGCTCCAGCATGGAAGGGCAATAAGGAATGCTACGGATGAGGCAGAGCAGAGCACACAGGCCCTGTTTTCCCTCCAGCTAATGGGTGTCTTGATGGGTGCCAGACCACTGATTGGATGTTTTCTGGAAGCTATAAATCGAGATTTTAAATGTGAAATCTCATTTTAGATGTTGGCAACAAACGGAAATTTAACACTCAGAGGCAAAACTGTACAGCTCAAACAAATCACGTTTCTGAATCACATGGGACCTTCTGTAACCTCTAGGTTCTGCTCTAGGGAATCAAACCCTAGAAAGTTATTCCTCCTAGCTGCACTTCTTTGGTGGGTTTGTTCATTCATTCGTTCACTTATTTATTGGGCTTTATAAGATATGGACACTGGCCCAGGGAAGCTCCTATATGAAGGCTCAGTTCACACATAACTTTCTCACACCAGGTTATATGCTCCGTTGACTTGAGAGCATTATCACGGGAACTGTATAATTTGCAACTGTATAATCATTACTGTAATTATTACAGCACAGGACTATATGTTCCATGAGGGCCCTGAGAGTGTCTGTCTGTTCCAACAGTACCTGCGGCCCAGCATATAAAGGGCAGTGTCTAGAATGAGGGTTAGGCAAACAGATACTGGTCATGTGCTGACAGTTCAAGGGTAAAATGGAGAACCTCTGTGGTGGGTACCGTGGCAATTTATTAGAAGTATCTTAAATGGGGATTTCTTCTGACTAAAAACTGCAACATCATGTTCTGGCAGTAAGACAAACGATTTTCCCCTTTTCTTTCTCCTCTTGGTTTGGCACAACTTGGGTATTCTAGGGGGAAAAAGTCATTATAATACTGAGTGCAGGAGCAGTAACTCTCTCTTAATACACACTTATTCCCTGAAAAAAAGGGCACTTCATCACTTACACCCTGAAAAAACTGGCATTTTGTCACTCTTATTCACCTTGTAACCACAAGTTTATCACACATGAGTATCAGGCCTGGTTTCCCAGCCCTGACAGACACCTAAGAGTGGATTTAACAGAACAGAAGTATTTCAGATCCCATCTTTAACTATCTGAAAAATATAAATCATAGCATCCCAAAGTCGTCCATGGACTGACGGGCTGGAGGCTGGGACACTTGCTTTGTCTCAGCTTTGTGCGAGTTGGCCCTATAGTTCTGTTCTGTGTGGAAATGTAGCAGCAAAGAGAATGTATATCAAGTTAGGGTCAAAACAAGGGACAAGGCCAAGGCCATATCAGGAATACTCTTTATTTGTCTACACAGATAAAACTGTGGTCCAAACTTCCCCCACACCTCAAATGCACTGCAGAGCTGTTTACCTGGCAGTTATGGTGTGAGGGGCCTAGAAGCTCCATGTAGAAAATTACACTACCATTTACGTGAGCCACAGAAGATACTCAAGGGGTAGAAAGGCAGTAAAATCTGGTTTTAATTTGTTAGGCAACATTTTACCAATACTGCAAACAAAAATCAGAAAGAAAGTCATATGCTGAGAAGAAGAAATTCTACACTTGAACGTGTTAGCTGGTGGATCCAAGAGTATGGGGTATAGACTTGTGAGAGTGAAGTAAAGCCAAGGCTTATGATAAAATTAAAACAACTGCAGAAGGAGCCAAACACAGGGCTTGGGAATCTGTTTGTAACTGCTCAGTCTACACTGGTATATAATGGCTAATGATCTGTTCTGGTTTGTAACAGAAGACATAAACATCACTACAACTGGTTAATTAGCTCTCTCCGCAAGAAATACTTAGTAAGATCAGGATTACTCACGTGATATCCCTCCGTTGATAGCAGCCCTGAAGCAGGCAGGCGATCAGGTCACTGATAAACTCTACGTCATCTCTGTGAAGAGCTGCTTCTAACTCCTGAGATGGAGAAGGGGAGACAGAGATTGAGGGATCAAACACAGAGAGAGATGTCTTAAAATCCATCCACCCCTTCCACCACCATCACCATCACCCCCTCAAGCAACTGAATGGTCACTGTAACAGAAGTGCTTGTTAGGGATCAACTCTGCCCTTCCTCCCACAGTTATTACTGCTAGAAAAGCAACTAGAGTCCAACTTTCTTTTGTCCCATGGGCTTTATTTCTCCCATTGCTCCTTACACAGCTCCATTCCTTTCGTCTGCGCTCTAGAAGAAACACACATATATTTCCTTTTATAAATCAATGCTAGCATAATTATCAAAGACCTTAACTTATATAAATACCTTGCATTGCTTTCTATTTTAATGGCAAGAGAATAAAGGAACAAATACGTAGTTAATCAGAAAGTATTCTTCACTTAACAGTTTCAAGAGGTAAACCATCAGCAACAGCTTTAAAGAACCACTGCATTTTGAAAAATAGTATTGGTGTAAACAATTTTGGAATTTTTATTGTCATGACACTACACTTACACGACTGATGATAGGAGATTACCAGAACTGAGAGTAGTCTTACATCATCTGGAGAGAAGTGAGGTAATGTCTATGTTAATGACCTAACCCTAGGTGAGATGTATTTGCTTTCCTTGGGGTTCAGGTGGACCATGCCAAAGACTTAACTCGTCTGAGCATAGTAGTCTAAACAAAGATTAGTTGAGAGGAGCTACAGGGACAAAAAGTGACAGTGGGGAATTTTACAAGATCTTATTTCTCTTCTCAATCTCCCATAATAAACTGGTATTCTCTGAGATGACGAAACATTTATGTTCTAAGTCATCAACTCTTTTCAAGCAAAGTTTGCCCATATTCTTTCAATCCAGGATGCTATCTATTTTCTGCATGCAAACCATTTTCCAAGGGTCCGCTATGCCTATGGTTTGACCAGCTCATGACCAGGCTCTATTATCCAGATCTATAAATGAAACTTCCGAGGATCTTATTAATGGTTCTGAAAACACAAAGTGTGCATAAGATGCAATTCTGACCTTAACACCAATTACAGGACAGTATATACTAAAGAGGGTAGCCGGCTTGTAGTATAAAAACAGTACAATTCTTCTGTAAACTATATTAATTGTTCTATTTATTATCTTATTTTAACAAATTCCTAAGTCTGTAAACACTCACTCTAAAAACTTCACAGGACAAAAAACTGCTAAGCCCAGTAACTGATAAAAATAAACAAAATAGAAACCACCCTGAGGCAGTTCCCCAGGCAAATGAAACTCAAAATTCAAACACAAGGCTCAAACTTTAAAACATTTTGCTTGCCTTAAATACAAATTTGGGAATTATTAACACACCCATAGCAATGGTTCTTATTCTTATATTAGCTTATTAACTCCTTTGGGCAGAGTTCTTGTCTACCTTCTAGTTAGTGATTATCCAGAAAACTAAGAAACTCTGCCAATCAGAGATAACAAGGATCTGAGCTCCAATTAGTCAGAATTCATTTATTCAACAAATATTTCCTGGGCACCCACCTTGTGTAAGATAACACAGTACTTCCTAAGAACTGTGGACCTTAGCTTAGTCAGGACAGACAAGACAGTACAAAACAGACAAACAAACACAGTAATTAGCACTATTAAAGCACAGAAAAGATGCTATGGGTGCTGTGGGAGTTGAGAAGAAAAGGATTACTTCTGGCTGTGTGAAGCCTGAGAGATTTCACCAAGGGGGCGGCACCTGAGATGGCAAAATTGTGACCTGTGTGACGATGGAGAGGCAGGGCGCAAGTAGGTGCAAGGAACAACATGAGCAAGGGCATCAAGAGGATATTAGGCCCTGTTATTCTACAGAGTATGGAGGGGAGTAATGTGAGCTAAGACTGAGAGCTGATACTGAAGACAGAGTTAATGAGTCTGGCCTTTCTTTGGAAGACAGTGGAGATCCACTACAGTTATTTTACAGAGGAAAGACACAGTGAGGTTAATCTAGCTGCTGTGCATACAAGATGAATTCTAGTGGCAGAGGGGGGAGGTGAGGCAATGTTCAGTATAAGCAACAGCCCAGGAGAAAGATTCTGAAGGACTTAATTAAGGAGAGAAACAGCAGGAAGAAGAAACATGAATTCAAGATCTGACAGAAGTAAAGGAGAGGCAAAGCAAGGGAAGATTTGAATGACTCATATTTTAAGCCTGGTCAGCTGGGCCAGACTCCAAAATAAACCGCAATTACAACAGAAGCCAAACCCTTGAAGTAAAAAGTCCCAGGCCATCTTGTTTGATAGATAAGCCAGAATTACTGAATGCTAGAGCTGGAAGGGAAATCACAGAAGATATTATTTTAACTTTCTCAATTTAAAGATAAACTAGGTCCAGATGCACTTCCCCAGATGCACTCAGCAAATCAGAGCCAAGTGAAATCCAGATCATCAGGTACAGTGCTCTTCCCTTAAAGTAAGCAGCTTCCCACTGACACAGGCTCTCTGTTCTAGAAAGGCCTGATGGTTTTAACATTTATAGTAAACGTCTCATCACTGCCCTCTCCAAGCCCTGACAGGTACCACTCTCCCTATGTAGAATAAATCCCTTCCTGGCTCCCTTCTGCCAAGCCATATTGTAGTCCCTTACATGAAAAACTTTTATCTACAAAATCTTCCTGGCTGAGTTCCACTTTGCCGGTTCCTTCAGCAATTCCTTTCTCACTGTATGTTTACTCATTGTTACACATTTCTATCGATGCTGTCCTTTTCCCCATCGGTGTAAATTAAGAACGCAGAGTGATTCTTGATTAGAGGTGCTGTACTCTGTACTAACTGTTGCTTCCTAGTGTTTTTAAAGAAGAGTATCAAATTAAACGATGATAAAAGGCCACATTGGAAGAGGTAAGAACTAGGAAGGCTTTCCCAAGGAGGTGACGGAAAGAAGCTTGCCACAGATCACTGCGAAGCTGTGCCAGGATTCCTAGAAGTCACAGGAGACAATGTGGATCACTTTTATTCCTTCCTTCCTTTCTTTTTTTTTTTTTTTTTTGAGGAAGATTAACCCTGAGCTAACTACTGCCAGTCCTCCTCTTTTTTGCTGAGGAAGCCTGGCCCTGAGCTAACATCCATGCCCATCTTCCTCTACTTTATATGTGGGACGCCTACCACAGCATGGCTTCCCAAGCGGTGCCATGTCCACACCTGGGATCCGAACCGGTGAACCCTGGGCCGCCAAGAAGCAGAACGTGCGAACTTAACTGCTGTGCCATTGGGCCGGCCCCCCAGTTTTATTCCTTAGTAAATTATTTAAAACATTACTTTTATAAAACAATCATACTATAGAGCAAAATGCAAAATCTACATTAACTTTTTAGCAGAGATTCCTTAAAAAATGTCACTCTTGTAGAAACAAGTTTAAACTATACTATTAATTCCCTTTCTTTTCCATCTCCTGTCTGCCACCTGCAGACGTTCTCTTCTAGCTTAGGTGGAAACACTGGACCAGGGCATTTCCTTCCTATCAGTGTCACCTTCACCAGAGGCAAGCTCTAGCTGTCCAGTTTCTACCTATAACATTGTCCTCTGAGAAGGTAAAAATAAAACGTAGCAGTAGCATCACTGAACGCCCTTTCTCTTCCTTAAAAATAACACATTAGTGTTAGTTTCATTCACCTCCTCTTCTTAAGCTGCTTATTGGAAAGAAATGTTCTTGTTTTCTTCTCTTGGGCCCTACATATAATATTAGGATAAAAATTAGCAAATCGTAGGTAGTCAAATTAACTTATCTATATATAGTTCACCTACCACATGCCAGACAGTAGGGATACAAAGGTGAATAAGAAAGTCCTAGTATGTTTATGGAAGGAAGGAAGGGAAAAGGAAGGGAGGGTCTGAGGGAGGGTTAAAATGTAAGTCAAAAAGGGGAAATTTTTGTTTATTCTTTATTGTGTTCGCTGCTGTCTCCCCAGCAACTAGAACAGTACCTGATGCAGAACCGATGTAAAAACATTTTCTTGACTGAATGATACCAAAGAATTTTGAGACAATATAATAAAAGCTATATTAAATACACCAAGTGATATGGGAAAATGGAAAAAACTAGAGAAGTTGAGGCTAGCACAGAGTAAGACTTTGCCAAGGAGCTAAGATTTGCACGGGGCCTTGAAGGGGAGACTCTTACTTGGCACAGGCACAGTGAGGAAGAGTGAAGTGTGAAGTTCATGGAATGTGTAGCAGTACCAATCGCTCTCCCCAAAGCAGAGATGGCGATTAGAGAGAGAACAGTAGACGGGACAAGCCTATTTCTTGAGGACCTTTTCTGAAAACCACACCAAAGAGAGTGGATTTTACTTCCCTATGCAATCAAGTCGGAAGGAGAGTGAAATGAGCAGAATTCTGTCTCAGGAAAAGAGTTCTGAGAGTAGCATGCAGAATGACTGCGGGTACCAGAGGTGGGTGTACACTGGCAGCGTCAGCATCACCTGGAAGTTTGCTGGATGCACAGCACCTCAGGCCCCACAACAGACTTACTGAAACCAGAATCTGCATCCTAACAAGAGCCCCAGGACTCACATGCATAGAGAGTTGGGAGGCGCTAGTCGGGAAGACGAAAGGTCAGAGTCTACAGTAAATACCACAGCAGCTGTGGGAATAGAGAAGGGAAGGATTTGAGAACATGTGAAAGATGAATAAACGCCGGTTTAATGAACAAAAGACATAAATATAACTACCAACAGAAATGAAATAATGCCATGGACCTAAAATGCTCTAAAATATGAGAGAACTCTCATAAATCAAGTTCATTTCTTACATAAGGACTCTGAATGAAATCCTTACATTGTAACCCAACCATACTCAAATGACAATCTCAAGACAAAGACCCTGTTTATCTAAAAACACTAGCAGTAATGTATGATCATAATCAAATCATGCAGACAAAGTCTGGTTATCAATATCTGTGGAATTTAGAGTTCCTGCCTCCACCTCTGAAACCTGTTGAAATTTATTGTA